CAACTCACTTCTGTCCGCGTCCGCACCCCGTGCACCACCCCGGGCCGCGCCCCGGGATGCGGGGGCCGGTCCCGGGCTCCGCGGCGGCCCCTAGGCACCTGTGGTTCGGGAATCGCCTCAAGTTTTGCGGGGCGTTTTCGGGAGGGGCCGGGGGCGGCGGCGGCCGAGGACTCTTGGCGCCCCCTGCGCGGCAGCGGATGCCATTGTCTGCTCCGCTCCCCGCCTGTCACCTCGCCCGGGCATGGTCAGTGATGGAGTGTGGCCCCGGGAGGCTGGGAGGCATCGGAGACGGCTGGATCCGAGGAACGCTGGCCCCGAGCCCGCTCCGCGGCTTAGCCCATTGTTTTTAACACCAATCTCGAGGAATTGTGGTGCCCTGTGATTTGCGGCAAAATCAGAGCATTCATTTTTAACAAGAGGGAAGGAATACTTGTGCCTTGAAACCGGGTTTCGTCCCATGTTAGCACATAATTTGCTTTAAGGAGAATACGTTGTTTTTTTCGCCCTACAAAGTGGTAGGGCGGATACAGGACCTTGCTACGGACAGCCTGGAGCCTATACTCTTCGCTAGCACATCCCCGCTCCTTCTGGTCCCCAAGATCCAGAAATACGGGGTCCGTTCTTTTCCAAGTTCTGGTAACGGGTTTGCAGTAATGTTGTCGGGCTGATGCTTCACTTGCTGTCCACTTCGAATTCCGCTATCTTCAGGACTTATGTGGGAGACGCTTTGATTATCGCCGAGTAATGTCCGTATATTTTGTGCCACTGAAGCATTTTAAGTGAGGTAGTGAGCCGGTTTTAACTTTAATAAAGTTAAATTGCCACGTCATAAATTTCCAGATATCTTGTTGATAATGCCTTTTTGGGTTATTACAGAAAGCGGCAATAGTTTCTTATCGACATTTAGGGCCCGTTTTATTCCACATTGGTTGTGTAAATTACCCCCTCCCCATGTTCAAATTGAAGATGGTGTGAATATTAAGAATCAGGCTTGAATCTTACTTGCAGTAACACTGTTAGAGGAACTTATAGTGGTTAAAAGAAAACCTAGCTGAATTTTACCTTTAAATTACCTTTAGAAACAATACTTATGTTTGCAGTTGAGATGATCAGTTGAATTACAAGAAGCTTGCCTTAAAAATTAAACGTGCAGACAAATCAACAGATTTGCAGATTCCTAATAAATATATATACATTAGTTTAAGTATAAAATACGTTAGAATTCAGCATCCAGTCCATCTGTAGATCCTATTTCGTATTGTTTTAAGTGAAGTATTTCATATGTCTCTCTAAATATGCGTAACTTATTTTGGCCTTTCTAAGGTTTGTATTCTCTTTCATAATATTACATTAACTTAGTTCTTAGTTGTGTGCATATTTATGTTGGAATTTTTTAAAAGTGAGATAAAAATAGATACTTAAAAATCAGGCTTTTCTTAAGAAAAACGTGTATTTATGAGACCTCTTTTTGGTTAATATTTTAGATCATTCTATTTTGCTTAAAATATGCTAGCATAAAATGAAGAGATCATTCTACGTGATAAGCAGTATGTCTGCAAGTAACTCAGCCTAGAACTGGAATGGCCTCAGGGTGAAAAATAGGTCTCCTGTTTCTTTCAAATGTAAACCAGTTGATGTCTCTTTTGATGTATATAGAGAGTGTGGAATGTATATTACAGGTGAAAAATAGTTTCTCAAATTGCGAATTACCTTTCTTTTTCTTCAAAAATTTCACTCCAACTTATTACCTGTTTTTCTTTATTTTCACACGCTCCCGTGCAAATGTCAGGGTGGGTTGGAAGGTTTGCGTCTAGTAGGAAGATCTTTCTAAAAGAATGTCCTGCTATTTTAACTAGCATAGAAATATTGATGGCTGCTAATCATTTGTCAGTTAAATGTCCACTCTCTCCCAAAGCTCTGTAAGACATGTAATCTTTATTGATTAACAGTATTGCATGTACTCTTGATTTTATTTATCTTAACAGATGCAGTTTATGTTGCTTTTTAGTCGTCAAGGAAAGCTTCGACTGCAGAAATGGTATGTCCCACTATCAGACAAAGAGAAGAAAAAGATCACAAGAGAACTTGTTCAAACCGTTTTAGCACGGAAACCTAAAATGTGCAGCTTCCTTGAGTGGCGAGATCTGAAGATTGTTTACAAAAGGTATAATTTTTATTTATCAGAAAGGTGAAATAGCAGAATCAGATATTAGGTCACTTATAATGTGGAAATTGCAGACTTCTGAGCAGTGACATTTATAAGTAATGATTAATAAATATTTAGATGAAATAGGTTTAAGGTAAAGCTTTGTATTTTTAAAATAACTGCTGTTTTGATTGATTACCCAGGCAGAAATGATAAAAGCAGAGACCTAATTATATAAATTAAAGGCATAAATGATTATTCATGCTTAATCATCCTTTTAGAAAAATTCAATGAATTCATTTCACTGCAGGGGAAAATAGGGTCAGTATTTTAAATTGTGGGAGTAATTCTCTGAATTTAGACAAGCGTAAATACAGTCTAGTCTCTTCTTGCAAATTTAGGAAGTAATGACCGATATTTGACATTCCTTTTATCTGACTTTTAGAATCTTACTCATTTATAAACACCTTGAGTACATAGACATTTCAGTCATATAGATGTTTTAAAACTTTGTGTATATAAGGATCTGTTAGTAATGTTTATTAATTTGAAGTACACTTGTTGCTGTGGTGGAGGTAAATAGATTAGATATGATAGATAGATAATTTTGCCAATGATGGGTTTTTTAAAATTTGAGATTGCAAAATGACTCATAGATTGGCTTTTAACACTGAGGTTTTTAAAAACTGCTATACATCTTTATTTTATTAATATCTGAAAGTTTGAATACCTTAAAATGAATTTCTCAAGATTGTTTTAAGCAGGTTTAAAGAAATACGGTTTCTTCTTTTACAGGATATGTTTTGAGGGACATTTACTTTGTTTCTTCTCCATTTCTGTTCCCTTTTGAATAATTTACCGAATTTAAGATAAGAGCCTTTCTGCATATGAAAAATTATCTTGCATGGAGAATATGCAGGGAACTAACAGTATGGGACACATGGGGGTGGAAGAGAAGTCAGGTTTTCTCCTCGGTTTCCCTTTGTAGCATCCCAAGTATGGAAGGGGATTTTTATGGGGAAAATTATAGAGGAAGAAATGGAGATTATAGGACATAGAGAGCTTCTTAAATACTGTAGACTCCTCTTTATTATAGAATGAATTTAGTCATCTTTGGGTGATTTTGTATCCAGTGTTCGGTTTTGTACTTGTTGGAAAAGATCATAGAAAAATCATCTCATTTGAGAGCTGGGAGATAAAATAATCTAGTCAAGTGTTTTTTTTTTTTTTTTTTTTTTTTTAAGTTTTTTGCCCTAGGGGGAGAACCTTAAATAAAACAAGTAGAATTGGAGCTGCTCTTGTGAAATCAGGAATGGGGATTCTGTACCCCTGCTCACTTGGCCTCTGCCCTTTCTGCGCAGGAGACAGTTCCTGAGTTTGAAAACTACTGTTGTTGATCAAACTTCAATTTTACAAAAATGGGAATTTGGGAGAAGTGACTTGTCCAAGGTCATATGCTGGTTACTCACAGCTTAAGCATGGAAAGCAAAGGTTTAAAACACAGGTGAAAAAAGATCAGATTTGCATTTCTTAAAAAATTGAAATAGGACAATGGATGGGGGTCTGGGACCTGCAGGATCAGTGGGATACAACATGATAATCAGGTCCTGAACCAAGACACTGGAAAGGAGAGCTAGTACCCAGGTAAGTTTGATAAGACTTGGTCGCTCCTAGAAGCGGGGAGGACAGCAAAGGAAAGGGAGGAATCAGGTGATCTCCACATTTCTGGTCTGGCTGATAGGGTGAATGGTGAGCCAGAGAACTCAGATCATTTTTGGGTAAGTTGACTTTGGGATGCCTATGTGAGTTCCATTAACATATGTTGGCATATGGTGGGCACAGGCATGGAAATCTGAGGAAAATTAGACATAAAGTGTTAGATCACCAGCGTTTAAGTGGCAGACAAAGGACCTTCAGAGTGGAATGAGAACCGTGGAGTACTATTGGGTCAGTAAAGTCAGGGAAGTAGAGAGAATTTCAAGAATAAGATCACCACTGCCAGATGTCACATAGAGTTCGATGAAAGTGAAGAAAGAATCTATTTACAGTGAGCATCTCATAAAATGCCCCGAGCCAGAACATTTTCAGTGGACTAGTAGAGACAGAACTCTCGATGTAATGGGGTGAAGCTTGAAGAGGTGGAGAAATTTAAACACCACGTGTAGACTGTTCTGGGGAGCTTTGCTGTGAGGGACAGAAGAGGTGGTGACCACCCACAGACATAGGAGTGGGGGACAGGATTAAAAAAAAAAAAAAAAAAGGTCTGAGAGGCTTAAGCTTATTTCTAGGTAGGGGAAGGAGTCCACCGTGTGGAGGAGGAAAATATCAGCAAGGGAATCGGTCCCTTGAATGGGCTATTTATTAAGGGAAGAAAGGAAAACACTGCACTCAGCCTGATGCTGGGCCACTACTTTTTCTTTTGAAAGCTATAAAGGGTAATCTAATCTGACTCTGATATGTACATCAGACCCCTTTAAATAAAAGGTGGACTTTAAAAAATGACAGCTTTATTGAGATATTCATATAGAAAAGGTGGAATTAAAATCTGTTTTTCTATACACTCCCCCCACCCCTCATTTTATGCCAAAAACCTCATCTTCTGTACTTAAGGACATATTTTTTGTTGATGTAAACGGGTGATCTGTTTTCCCTGTTCCAGCTGGAAGAGAAGACCTTTTAAGCAGAGGAATTGCTGCTTAGCTCCTGAGAAATTCTAAATAGCACTTTGTTGTTCAGCCTGTGATTTTTATGTCTTTCTTAAATTGTCTCATCCACATTCTTCATCCTGAGTATCTGGCATACAACTTTCCCTTTTTGGGGAGGGAGAGGTAGGGGGATAAGGATAATATAGCTGAAAAGACAGACTGAAAATCTTGGGAGTTGCTGTTCCCTTTGTGACTTTGAACATATCACTTTGCCTTTGTTTCCTCATCTCTAACTGCTCTTGAAGATCCCTTGAAGACAGACTATTGTATGCTTTTTTGATTCCTATTTTGTGCAGCATTTTATGGAAGAGGCACTGGATTAAAGTCCTTTTAAAATTAATTTTAAAATATTTACACCTCCAAGTTATTAGCTTAAGAATTTGTCAAAGAGTACTTATTGATTTTCTCTACTAATGAAAGCATTTTTAATAACATCCGGGGGGTATTGAAAACAGTTTAGCTATATTCACCCACTGTCAGCTGATATTTAGCTGACTGCGGAGAAGTCATGTGTTTTGAATATAAGAATAGGCGCTTTCAGATGTTCTCTGAGTGCCAGTAATTAGAGTAAGCCTTAATCCACTGTGCTAAAAATAACCAAACATACCTTTCTTACTAGTCTATTATTAATTTTACTTCAGATTTAAACTTACTAAAAGAGCAAACTGAGCTCATTATCAAATTTTTAAAAACCATTTGGTCCTCAAAATAGGGTACAATTCAGGTTCTCTTGGTAATCTTTTACCGAATCAGTATGCCATTTTTTATTTCTTTCCCTCTTCAAAGCTCTTACAGTATTGCTTTGAACATATTTTCATTTTTGCCAGGTGCAGGATTACTTGAATACAGTTGCTGGCTATAGTTTTTAATATAAAACTTAGGCTCTGGAGTCAAATTGCTGTTCCTAGGCAGGTTATTCTAGCCTAGGTCTTCTATAAGTGCAAGTAATGATGGTGTGTATGGTAGGGTTGTTGTGAGGATTAAGATGGTAAAATATGCAAAAGCCTTAGCTAACAGTGCCTCACTTAGAGTGAGGACTCAGCGAATGGGGCCTGTTATTATGCTTGTGTTCCTTCCTTCCCTTAGCTTTCTCGAAAGAGGTGTGTTCTGATCATCCTCATAGCTATCTGTTCACACCTACAAGGAAGAATTCATTAATTTGATGGCTCTTTTTCCATTCTGAGTGAAAGTAAACAGTTAGGTAGTATTGAGATGTTTTTTTGTTTGTTTTTTAATATTGCTGGTTGGTGCTTAGACACATCAGTCCTGATGATTTTTTTTTTTTTTTCCTTTTTTGTCTTTTTTCGTGACCGGCAACGGGATCGCAACCCTCAGTGTCGCGCCCGTACCGCGACCGGCAACGGGATCGCAACCCTCGGTGTCGCACCCGCACCGCACTCAACCAGTGAGCTGACCGGTCTGTATATGGGATCCGAACCCTTGGCGGGAGAGCCGCCGCGCTCTCAGGCGCCGCGCTCTACCGAGTGCGCCACTGGGCCGGCCCAGTCTTGGTGATTTTTAAATTAATGTTTCTGAATGATTCCTATAATTTAGGACCTTTGACTAGTGTTTAAGTGCTGTTTATATTTGTAAGTAAAGAAGCAATACTGTGGATAAGGAATGAGGATGGTACAAGCGTTAGATTGTTTAACAGTAGCATTGAGGAAATCTTGAAAATAAAAGTAAAAGGAATTTGCTTGAACCAGACTATTAGTAAACTCCATGTAATGGAATTATATAGCATTCTGTTCATAGGAGCTTGTCATATCTGGTTTTTAATCTACCATTTTTATGCCAGTCCCTTTAATATTTAGTTTTCTTAATACAGGGAATCTTACGTATCGTTTGTATCAGTTTCCCCAAATTCAAAATTCTATTTAATGATCATGGGTTACGGAGGATGGAGAGTTGGAATATCCCATTGCCTTTTAAATAGATAGAAACAAGATGTTGAGATGGGAAAGAGAGGAAGCTCTTTGTTAAAGTTGGAGGGGGTGCTCTGTTATGTCTGCCATGATTTATTCCTTTCACGATGATAAATGAATACGTTCAAATGTCTACTCTAGAAGACTGCAGGAGACCCACCACTTTAAATAACTTACTGAATAGAAATCAGGTTGAGTGGACGTGCAAAAAGTCATGGTATATATGACAGGGGAGCTGGTATGTTGAAGTGGAGAAAGGCCTGGAGTTAAAGTCAGAAGATCAGGTTTCTTGTACCAGTACTACCACTTGTAGGCCCTGTACTCTTGGGCTTTCCTGTGTGTTTATCTGTAATCAAGGTTGATAGTGCTGCTGTTGAAAGGATTAGATAAAATGAAATATTTTTGATCATATTGAAATTAACAGTGTTTGTGAATAGTAGTTATTTTTATATCGAGGAACAGGAATACATTGAATCTCCAAACTGAGGGTGTGTGTGTGTTTTCTGTGTATTATTTTATATTGACGCTATGAGCAGTAATTGCCCATTGTGTTTTTCTGAAAATCATTTAAGTGCTCCTCAGTGAAAATTACAATCTCAACTGAGACTTGTTTAGAATGTCTTAGGTTTTTCTTTTCTTTTTTTTCAAAAGCCCTTAAATATACTTAAACCATTTAAAAATGCTCTTTTAATCCTCCTTAAAAGGACTTCTATGCCTCAAGGTTGTACATTAATAAACTTGGTTTCCTTGGGTCAAGTATAACCTAGTCCAGTGTGCTAGAATCCCAATTTGGAGGAGAATATGAGTTTCCCAACCTTATTCCTTCTTCTGTGGCAAATAATCTACACTTCAGTTCAACAGAGTAGAACTTGGAAAAAATCTTTTTCTTTTTTTATTTCCCTTTTTTTAGAACTTGGAAAATTTGAGGGCAGGTCTCAGTTTCCCTTAAGTGATAGGAACTTTCTGTTCTTTTTCTCTAACTTCTGTAATAATTTGGAGCTGTTCTTTTCTTAGGGTTTATTCCACAATTTTTAGAAACCTCCTTTTAAAAACAATTCTGTGCTATTAGAAGTCAAGATAGTGTTTACCTTTAGGGGTGGGAGATTGTGACTGGGAGAGGATGGGAGAGGGGTTTCAGGGTTCAGTACTGTTCTGTTTCTTGATATGGCTGCTGGTACATAGATGGGTTTTACTTTGAAAACTCATTGAGCTTTTATGACTTGAAGTCTTCTTTGTGTGTATATTATACAGTACTTCAACGAAATGTTTTAAAACATTGACCTCGCATTGACAGTATTTTCAATAAGTCTTTCAGTTGAAGGGTTTATTTTCTTCCGTGTTTTTTTGTAGTATGAATTAATCACTCAGTATATTTCATTTTAATCAAGTAAACTTAAGAAAAACCTGGGTCAGTATGTTTTAAACTATTCATAGAGAGGAGTTTGAAAGGAAGGAGAGCAAAATCAGTTACTCTTTCTAGGTGGCATGATTGAGCGATTGTTTTTTTTCTTTCTTCTTGCCTGTGCTTTTCAAACTTTCTCTTATACATTCATTACTTTAGAAGTCTAGGAGAAAAATAACCTGTACTGTTGTAAAAGAAGAAATAAACTGTATAAGCATGGGGTCTTTCACAATAGCATATGAAAATGTATTTAGAGAACATGATTACAGGGTAACATTTTTTTCCACATTTGTATTTTGTTACAGATATGCTAGTCTGTATTTTTGCTGTGCTATTGAAGATCAGGACAATGAGCTAATTACCCTGGAAATAATTCATCGTTACGTGGAATTACTTGACAAGTATTTTGGCAGTGTGAGTAGTATTTTATTTTAGGAAATTGAATGTCATAGTATTTTTTAAAATCTTTTCTCTAACAAGTTTATTATTTGGAGAGAGCAGGAATGACTGTTTCTTGTGAGTGGGCTTAGTCAGTTAACTTCCAGAATTGCTGGCCCTTCAGACATATTCATTTAATTATGCTGGTAAGAATGAGTTTTATAATAGTGAAATAGAAGGGAGTCTGACTGTAAACATTAACATTCTGGAAGTGCTTATGTAGAATTTAGATTCAGAGAGCAGTTCTAATCACATTACCCAGGAAATAAGTTCAGTTTTTACAAGTAGAAAATTATTATGTTGCCCACGTTGGGAGTGTACAGAGCCAGGTCTTATTCAGCTTGTAGGCATTGTGTTTTCAAGTACTTGAGATTTGAAAATCAAGCTTACTTAAACTAGTGATGCTTAGCTAGCATGATTGCCATTTTAAGAAAGAATTAAGATTGATCACTCTGGTCAGATTTTATTTACTACCTGATAGTGAATAAGCATCTTTTGCTTCCTTAAGTTTTAACGGTATTTTTTTTTTTTTGCTTTTCAGGTGTGTGAACTTGATATCATCTTTAATTTTGAGAAGGCGTATTTTATTTTAGATGAGTTTCTTTTGGGAGGGGAAGTTCAGGAAACATCTAAGAAAAATGTCCTTAAAGCAATTGAGCAGGCCGATCTACTGCAGGAGGTAAGTTTTCTCGACTAGGCGCTAGCATGTTTTGCTCTTGCTAGGGAAGTCTCAGTCATCATTCTTACAGTTTCAGAAATTAACTCCGAAGCATGCTTGGCATGTAGTGTCCATGTGCAGTTTATTGATTGGAATATGTGTCAGTCACGTCAACTCAGTTATCTATGGAGGTGGTTCACTTTGGACATGGTCTGTCAGTCAGGCCTCTTCTTGATGGCCCATTTTTGGAGCCCGAGACAGTGGAATCTAAACCTTTAGAGGACTGACTAATTTAAGAAGGGAAAAGATTGGCCAAAAGTAATAGTAAGTTGAGAACTTTCCATCTTTGTTTTGAATTACTTAAAATAACCCCCTTTTTCATTACTATGGATAATCAGGAGTTGACTGTGAGATTATGGCATTCTCATTCCAAATTGGTTCATATTTTCACCTCATATCCATTAAGTGCAAATGTAGCCAAGCAAATGATAGTGTTTTCTAATGACACTTTTTGTGAACCCTCTAGTCTTGTGTTAGCAAAACTAACTAAAAAGTATTTGTATTTCTCTCTTTGCTCTTCTTAAATAACAAACCATGTTCTGTCAGACTACTATATTCTTGTCTTACCTCCCTATCCTCAGAACCATAACCTCCTTCCCTTTGTAATAACTATAGTCATCCTGGGTTAATTGTATATTTGATGCTAATGTACCTTCTATTTCCAAAGTTTAAAATTTCATAGATAAGGTTCATTTTTCTAAAAACTTAATGATATCTTAATTCACATATCAAATTGAATTGCTTTAGAGCTAATTGTGCTTTTATCATATAGAAAGTTTACAGCATGAGAAGGCATTAGTAAATATAAAAAAAAAAAACCGCAGTGTGTTTTCACTAAGGTAGTTGTTAAGTATGTGTGTGCATGTATATAAAAGGTCTTGAATATTTTGACCCATTGGTTCATTTTCCAGAAGTATGGTTTTGTATTTCCAGTTTATTTTAGCCCCTTCTTGTTCATTACATATTTGTTAATCAGTTTGTTCTTGTCTTTTTTCATTATTAAAGGAGACTTTAAATCCATTTTTTTAGTATTTCTTTTATAACAGAAATGTCAAGTTTTAAGAGAGTGAAATTAAGGGAAGAAGAATAACTTTCTTTCTGTATGATAACTTCTTGGCCTCTCTGGGGAGGGGGGAGCTACTTGGGAATCCCCCTGCATCAGTCATCGATTGAGTTAGCTGTGGGGATTGCTCAAAGTTGAGATGACATCATCTGGAATAAACATGTATTAAATGTGAGACAATGCATTGTGCACTTAATGATCTTGTAGTTATCAAAGAATGGTTAAAGTGCCTGCAAAAGTGAGGTATTTTATTGGCAGCCCTGATGCCATCTGCTGTTCACTACTGAAATGAGCATAGACCCTTTGCCTTTTGTGTACAGTTTGCTATGGCAGTTTATTAATTGATGACAAACATGTCATTGTGGAGATATTTTTTAAACATCAGGTATGCTGACTGCAAGCTCATGTTCAACTGTTGTAAAATTGGTTTTAAAGTTAACACCTCCTTATTTTGCTGTTGCTAATCAGACTTTTTAAAAAATTCGGTCAAAACCAGGATTAGGAATTGGGAATTTTTCATATTTGTCTCTTCCTTTGATCATTTTTATATTTTATTACTATGGAACTATATTTTAATGTTTTTCCTGGAGAGTAGTGTTTAGGGGACTGATATCTCCCTGTGCCTGGATTAATTTTTAAATGCTACTGGGAAATTGCTATAGACTTTATATGACAGCCATGCTAAATTCGTCTTATACCACGTATTGAGTATTTAATATACTAGGGGATAAAAACATTATTACATGTCCATATTTATTTGTGTGTGTGTATATCCATGTATCCCTATGGGAGTATTTTAATAGTTAATATTGTCTCTCTTTTTGAAGTGCTATTTTTATGTCTTTAAGTGGGGAAAGTAGGAATAGGGAGAGAAGCATAGGATGACTATGGTCCCATGTACAATTTTTCTTACCCCTTCTCACCCTTGTTTAAAAAAAATTGACTACTGTTATTACAGTTTCTTGTTTTCAGAAGAGAGCTTTGGCCCTATGTCTCGTCTGTGACTACTTTGACATTGTTTTGTACACAAATCAAACTGAGTAGTACATTAAGACATTTTCTATTTAGTAGTCTGGGTGAACCGTTTTTCTTAGTCATTGAGGTGTTGAGGAAGCAGAAGCTGGTGGGCCGTTCTGAATTTGGAGTGAGTTAGAATACATTGCAGCATAAGGCCGTGGGAGGCCAACCTCAAGTCTGTATGGGGCAGTAAGGCTTTGGGTTATCCTGTTCACTACATCACCATAACGCAGAAGAAATGCAGGGATGACAAGATGCTCATTTCCTAAAGTAGATTCATTTATATGTTGAGACATGATACAGGATTACATGTCTGGGAGAGAGAGTATTTGAATATTATGTTTATAAAATAGAAGGTGGAATAAGATGAGGAAAAGCACTCCACAAAGGAGAAAGGAGAAAGTGGAGGCTCAGTGAGATTTCAGTGACTGGCCTGAAGCCACCTGTTTAGCAACTGGCAAAACCAGGATTCCAAACCCATATCTGCTAGACTGGTCGGGGCTGTGTGAATTGTAACTACTCTGCTCTGTCCCCCCATTTGTGTATTGTCTTGGTATGTGTATTTTAAACGTTCTGTTTTAGATACCAACTTGTATGTTTCTCAGTCACATAGTAAAGAAATTCATAATTCTCCCAAAGGTTTTTCTGTATTGAATGGAGTAGATTTCCTAAGGCTAATCCCATTTTTGACTTCTTAGGCTGGGACTTTTCATTGTCTAAATTATTAGTAGTTGGAATTTTTAATTGGGAATGTAGATATAAATAATATTTTTCAAATCATTTCTTGTTGGATTGATCAAAATGCCTGGACCTGTCATAGTTTTTCGGTCTTATAGTTTGGGTTGTAGTAATCACTTAGTCAATGTCATAAAATAATTTTGCTTCCAAAATTGTAAATATAGCTGTAAAGATACTTATCTAAATTCTGCCTTAAATTCGTAGTAAAAATTCGAATTGGTTGATTTTAATGTAATTTTTCATGTATCATGATTTTTCTGTTTAGTGTCAGATCTTTTACTTGGATTGATTATTTCTAAGCACCAAAGATGACTTTGAACTTATAATGAACTTTTATCTGGCTTAACGGTATATATGCAAACCACAAAAAGATTTTGATTTTAATTCTTCCTTAATTTGAGAAATATACATTTCTATCTTTAAGAATGTTTATTTTCTTCAGAAAAATTTCTTAAAATTTCCCTTTTACACAACTTGTATAAATATCACATAGTTTAGAATCCTTCATTATAATTGCTAAAATATCAACAGACATTGTGATTAAATAATAAAGGTGTCTTTTTAATTTTACTCGATTACTTGGTGAATGAGATTGTTTTTGACATTTCTAGACTGAACTCTATGCCTTTTGGTATTTAGTTGTATGAATACATAATTAGATTTGAGAGTAAAGCCCAGAAATTGGCCCATTATCCAATTTTTAATATTTGACTGTTGGAATTTAAAACATGTCTTTTTAACATGCCACTGGTACTAAAGTTGATTCTTAAATTATTAAAGTACAAATGCTTAGATTTTTAAGTTGATTTTTTTTTGGAATACTTGGAATATTTTTCCCCATCACCTATTTGAAGCTAGAGTTTTGGGGGATAGAGTGGAGGCGGTGATGCAGTTGAATTTATTTTATAAACACTAACATATGTAATGACAAAGGATATAATAGCATGACATTTATTATGTACAGTCAGGCACTTACCAGTTTTTCTTTGCTCCTTAATTTTATAGAGCCAGAATGAAGAATGGGGAGGTTTGTCTGAGGATATCTTATGATAAAGAGCAGTCTAAGGCTTTAGTCCCTTTGACCCCCAACTTATTTATTGGTAACTACTAAATTTACATTTTTTGTGGCATGGATAAAATGGGTGCTATGCAAAGACTGTTGCACGTGAGATGATTTCAAGTCCTTGCTTGATCCGTGAAGATCAAATATGTAAATACCAGGCATTGGGCTTTAACCCTTAGTGGTAGGTGCATGATGGTATTCATCAGTGCTTTGAGATGTGTCAGCCTTTCTTTTTTATACTAACAGCATCATTTTGAAATTTGTGGTGGTTTTTTTCTTTTGAGCTTTGTTTGCTTTTGGTATTGTTTCTCACTTAAGTAATCTGTGCAATGAAAAATAAGTGAGGTACCAAACGCAAGCATTACACTCATGAATTTGCTTCTACTTCAAGATGATCACTTTATGAATAGATTTACTGGATTTGCAGTTGTTTATCTGCCTTGTCTAGAAAGTGGTGCTCTATGGAGATTTAGTGCTACTAAAATTGATTTATTTTAGTGCTGGGGGCTGCATGATATATCTTAGTACTGTGCTATATCTTTATGAAATTAATAATTAATAAGTCTCTGGGACTGCATAAAATGGAAAGGTAAGAATCTTAGGAGAAAAAGTGATTTCTTTAAAAAAAATGAAGCTGTCATAACTTAAAATTTTAAGTAAGTACTTCTTGAAGTATTTAATATTATGTCTTTTAATAAGGAGTTTTGGGTTAATTATTTATTTTTACTTTTTGGCAGCTGGGTAGTACAGGGATGGGTTTTTTGAAAGTCAAATATTACTAATTAAGAATATTTGGACATGTTAGTCAAACTCAAGAATATCTTAAATTGTTTTAAAAGAGATGCTTTCAAATATACACAATAATGTCATTTAATAGCAAAAAAGTATTTTGATATAAATCTTCAGGATTTGCTTTAATAAGACAAACTGCTATAATTCCTTGGTAATTACCAGTGTTTGTTAAAACATTAAAGCCTAAACCTCTTTCTTTTAAATTGGGTTAAAAGTTAATAATGCTATGGTCTTTCATGCGAGCATATTTAAATTTTTTATAGGTAAACTTGAAATGGAAAATACAGTAGGGCAAATAGAGAAAATACAGGAAGCAGAACAAATATTACCTTTCACTTGATGTTTAATAAGAAACAGTTTGGCCAGTTTTCAGTGTTTTTCAGGATGTAATCATTTTGCTGTATATTTGTGTTTTTGAGCTTTTTTTCTTTGTCTGCCTTTTAGAATTTTGAGGATTTTTCCCCCTTGCTGTTTCATTTCTAACTCCTTTTGAGCCAGCTCTTGCTACTGTGAGCTATCTATAATGATGAAAAGTTGGACTAGCTTAAAATATTCAGTAACTATAAATTTGATCTTCAAAAGTTTTTGTCTAGAACCCACAGTAATAAATACATTTTTATATCACAGTACTACATAAAGAGAAACTGAATAAAGTTATTGAGTAATATGTACTCTCATTTCTTGTTTTGCAATCTCATATTTTGTATTTTATTTTATTTTTTGTTTTTTAAGTGCTGATCTAGACCTACTAAATTGATTTCATCAGACCTAGGATTGGGACCTGCACAGGGACCTGCAAAGAGCATATTCCAAGGCTTTGGTGACAATTTATTTCATTAAAAAATACTTCCTGAAAAATTTCAGGTTTGAGTTCTTTTTTTTCCCCTACTGACATTGTATTTTCTTTTGTTTGGTCTGTTGCCTTTTTAAAATAAAAGTACCCATTATAGAAAAAATAGTAAACAGGCAAGCACACCAGAATATAATATTACCCACAACCAGGGCCAATTAGATTAACTCGGTGGCTCACGTGGGGTGGGGGTGTTGCGATTGTGCTCCCTCCCCCAGGGCACATTGGGCAATATCTGGAAATATTTTTGGTTGTCACAACTGGGTAAGCAGTGCTACTGGCATTTAGTAGGTGAAGACCAGGGCTGCTGCTAAATATCCTACAGTGCAGAAGACAGTCCCTCTAGAACGAGGAATGATCCAGCCTCAAGTGTCAGTTGTGCCCAGGTTGAGAAATCCTGGTTTAATTTAACACCATGGAATAAAGATTGCATTTACATTTATAGACTGCTACATCTATTCAATATTATATGTAATCCACAGTATAGATAACCAGCTGAAAATGAATCAAAAATGTAAAAGGAGGAGAGGAAAAAGCCTAAAAATTGTGAAAGGACAAATATGCTTAAGAAGACATAAATGGCTATAAAAATCACCCCTGTGATTCACCAAAATTACCTTTACTTGATTGTCATTGACTGGGGAGATAATCTATGGTTGGCTTTAGAACCTAACCCATGAGAAAGCTTGTGGGATGTCACTATATAATTTAATTTCCTCAACAACAACCAAATCTGTTAACTTTTATTAAGGTAATTGAGTTTCTTATTTGGAAACCAATTGAGTATACCCTGCAGGCAGTCAGAACACTTTTCGAATTTTCTGTCAATTTCCCCATCCACTTTAGGGATTTGATAATTTCTTAAAGGAGAAATAGTTTAAATGACCAGAATTTACATATATAGACTTTTCTTTTGCTTCATATATAGACTGTTTTTGGTTTTGTCCCCTATTAGCCTTAAAAAATTTCCTTAGTAAAGATATTTAGAACTTGAGGGTTTGAAATTATGTGATCCCAAGAAATGTTTTGTGTTTGGAAAACACTGATTAAATTTAGAGTATTTCAAGGCAAATAAAATAGTTACCCTAGAATATGCTTAAAATATTTCTTTACAGTCTAAAGTTATATTTGCTAAGCTAATCTGCTTTTTAGTTTAAAATTACAACTAACTGCCGGAGAAAGTAATTTGTCCTTAGTATTTTATAACTAGCAGGTTTTAGAGCAGGCTTTATTATAAGATGCAGTAAAGTTACCCCCCTCATTATTTGTAAGACAAATGTAATAGAAGTAGGTCAACACCACAATAGAAAAAGACTGCAGAAGACATGGATAAGTAATTTACAGATGAAAAAAAAACAAGTGGTTCTTTTATTAAGGAAATAGAATTAAAATATCAACTAGACCTTTTTTGTTTGTTTCTTCTTGGATTGGCAAAGATGAGAGAGACTCTTGTTGCTGCTTGTGAGCACTTAAACTTATATTTCGTTCTGGAGGATTAGTTTAGTGAAATCTATTAACAATTAAATGTGTACACCTTTTGACCCATCAGTTACATTTCAAGGAATTTTATCCAACAGAAATATACAGATGCACCATGTTCAGTATAATATTAAGCCATTGGAACTCACCGAAATGTCCATCAATGGGAAATAGATTTAAAAAATTATCGTACAACCATACATGAAACTGTCACGTAGCTGTAAGAATGAAATCATTTTCGATGTAATGATATGGAAAGATACTAAAGGTATATCAAGTGAGAATCTAGGAGCAGGATGTTAACTAACTTAAGTGTTACCTCTGAAAATGTTTGAAGTTCCTTCTCCCTTTATATTAGAAGTGTAGAATAAGCATTGTATTTAATATTATAAATTTTTTAAAAATGGAAAAGTGCTGCTGTGTGAATGAAAGTGTACATTGTGTTGCTACAGATAGTAAAACTAGAGTAGAATTTACTAAAATAAGGTTTTGGCACGTAAAGTGAAGCACTTGTCTGCTCTTGGCCATTTTAGACACTAACCATCTAGAGCAACCATATAGCTCTTGCCACACATTGCTAACTTAGCATAAAGAAAAAAATCATTTGACTTTCTTTGTGCTTCACAAATGCTCATGAAATAAGACTGACACCAGGAACCATCATCTAAAAGGTGCCTTATAAAGTGCTAAAGTGCTTTCAATTCTTCTCTTTTTTTATTTATTGCTCAAAATAAATCTTTTTTTTTTTTTTTCCTTTTTTGTCTTTTTTCGTGACTGGCAACGGATCGCAACCCTCAGTGTCACGCCCATACCGGACCGGGACTGGCAACGGGATCGCAACCCTCGGTGTTGCTCCCGCACCTCGCTCAGCCAGTGAGTGGCCGGTCTGTATGTGGGATCCGAACCCTCGGCGGGAGCGCCGCTGCGCTTCCCAAGCGGCGCACTGTAGCAGTGCGCCACCGGGCCGGCCCTCAAAATAAATCTTAATGTGAGATTGGATACTCTCCGGCCCTTTCGGTCTTTAACACAAGGAATAGGGTTCCAGAGTTAAGAGTAAGGACTTTGCATACTTTGCCACAGAATCAGTTAGGGGCAATAAAAAGGACCATTGTGTTCTAGAGCATGAAGGACTGAGGGTACTACTTTATAGTGCAGAGAATTAGTGAAGAAGCCCTTTTACAAGAAAAACTGGAATAGAGCAATAACTTGAAATTACATTTATTTATATTTACTTTTCATTAAATATAAATTATTTTCTTTTTTAGCACACTGTGTACTAGAAAAAGAATCAGGAGAATAGGGCTTAAGTCTTGGATATCCAGTACCATTAGTTTACTTAGGCACGTCTCATCTCATCAAGACTTAAGCCTGCATTTAATTGCTAGCTTACCAGGGTTCCTTGTAGCTTTTCAGTTGGTTTTACTTAGTCCAGTATAGTGAATATCTAGGAAATTTTATGGTAATGGAGTTTGTCTTTTCTTAGGAAGGTAGGTGGTTTTGAGAACAGGTATAACTTGATTTCTCCCTCCTGTGTGTTTAATTGTCATCCTACACTTCCCACTACATCTGGCCCTTTTTGTAGGGGATTGAGGACAAAATTAGTCTCAGTGCATAGGAAAGTTGAAGATGCATGTATATACTAAAAAGAAGGAGCCAATGGTGAGAGTGATGAATGACCAGCAGGAATAGAATAAAGGATAAAATATACTGGGAGGGGGAATGGGAGTGGAATCAAAAGCACTGGTCTTGGGTAAGTCTTTCTCCTCTGTTATGAGGCAGTAAAGGGGTAAAGGTGTAGATTTTTTTTTCCTTCGTTAGTAAGATGAGCAAAATAGAGAAAGTTGTCATTTTCTTGTCATTTCTCGTCATGAGAAATGACATATAAAGGGGAACCGTTGAGGACTGGGGGAAGTAGA